GCGGTGTCAGTGGAGAAGCAGATAGAGATGACGAACCATATGAACAACAGCAGGTCGAGGCCAGCACCCAGGAGATTAATACTCGAAAGCATCGTTGACATCTACGAGCAGATGGAGCAGTGTGAGAATTCTGTGCTAGCAGACCGCCTTGCAATCCTGGCAAACATCTGCGATCTCCCATATAGGCTAGCATCGACAAAGCTGAATCATTCTCAATATAGTTATAGCACATGTCTGTTGGTTCTGATATTCGCGAACGTATGGCCGGATCGGGAGAAGCGACGAATGAGATATAAGGAGTTGTCAAATGACCTCATGGATGCACCGATTGGCATTCTATTGTCGTACTTGGCTTGGCAGGTCAGCATCGACGGTCACGACAGTGAAATCTGCACAGAGCGCTATGCATACGAATCATATATTGAGAGATACCATGGACACCGAGCAGATCCAAACAGAGTCAGGTCGCTATACAAGGCACAGCCTCGCACCGTGTCCCGGCGTGTGAGCCTCGAATCGATGAGCGGACGGTTTGCCTACGACAGCTGTCACCCTGATATAGCATATACGAATCTTACTGCGGCTGCTGTGGACCTCACTTTTGAAACCGGATCCACAGATGCCAGGCGTGAGGAGTATCTTACCTCTCCCCCTCTTTTTATGAGCGAGAGCGAATTAAGCCTTCGAGACGACAGTTCAATGCGCTATTTGATGCAAGAATGGAAACAGATTCGGTTTGAAAAACCAGGAAGCATGACCGCATGGGAGTTTTCGGACGACGACACGGCAGTTGAAAGAATGAGTACCTCATCCACGCCGCTGCTGCAATGAAGGATTCTTTGATGAGGAGTGCCTTAACGACTGCTGGCAAGACTACGTTTCCGACCGAAACAGAAGAAGTAAAACTCGAACAAGCTTTTTCAACGGGAACTTCTGTCGGGGTAACAACAGCCCTTGCCACGTCGAAACGCCGTGACGATAGAATTCAGTGGCCCAGGATAGTTCAGTTGATTGCTGGCTTGGCGCTGTCCAACTTGATATGCAAATATCACACGCATTGGTTTCGTAAACAAAGCAAAAGCAATTCCGAGCTCTATAGCTTTTCTTTCTTAGTATCTATCTCTATCAAGGCTTTCAAAACAAGCAGTACGACTATTCATGGAACCGAGATTGATAGGAAATCTGGATCTAAAAGCTTCTCAAGCTCAGAGATATACTTTGCATGCTTCTTGCGGCTCGGATCTTGCATGAAAGTCCCAGTCCCTTCTTTCGTCAGAAAAACACCAAGCTATCAGATTGATGCACTCGAGCGACGATATTCGACCATGCATCTGCTACGACCAAAAGCGGGAGCTTAGTGTTGAGCTCAGCGTTGGGTTATCTGACAACGTCGCTCTAGGCTTCTCCACAAGGTCGCACGCGTTTACCAAAACCTGGATTTGATGTAACAACACAAGATTGTAACCTTGCGGTGTCTTCTTGTAGGTGACTTTACCAGTATTATGACTTTTCTCAGATACCTAGTTGCCTTGCTTGTATTTCGAGAAGCAAAACTGGAGTAGTGAATAATATCTAGCGTGCTTCGTTGTCGAGGTAAGACGATGACCCACAATCTCATGGTCAATCTCAGCATCACAACCGAAGACTGTATATGGCGTGACTCTAGCAAGTTTACTTCTTAGTGATCGTTGTACAGGTAGTAAGTAAAAGACCGTGGCGTCTCGTCATCCATGAAACGTGCTGGGAGGAGTCGACAAAGTCAGTTTTCTTTGTAGATGAATTGGTAGATCGATAGCCTACCACGATCTAATAAACCATGAGTCTGACTTCAAGTGCTGCAGCGATTCGAAATCTTGCTTGTCGACGGCTCAGCCAAGATTCAAAAGTCTTGCCGCCATCGTCCAATTTTGAACAACCTTCAGGATCATAGCGATGGTCAATCTACAGGATTGATAGATGTTGTGCATGTCTTGTAGATGTCTTTCCATATCGGAGGGATTTCCTTGATCAGTGCACTCTTAATTTATCCAAATCCGCTGGATAATCTGAGATCGAGCAAACTGTACAACATGATAGAAGACGACTAAAGAGCTTCTGATAGGTCGAGAGGGCTTGTCTAAGTCGATACCGTCCCAAATGCGGTAAGCGGGCATCTGCATTTCGTCGAGAGACAGTTCATGTGTCCATCCGTAAGGCACCGTAATGCAATTGCTCAACGTGCTCCTCTCATAGTCATGAGTGTGCGTGAGGATGAAATCATACTTTAATCCACCTCACGGGTAGAGTTCTAGTAGAAGAAAACAGGATGGGCTTGGGTCATTGCTTTCTATCAGCGCAATGCACTCAACCTTTTCGACTACGACAAGAAGAGCTTCACTGCTTCCATGGATCTCTCGGAACGTAAATGCTCTGTCGTCTTGCATGATAGCGGGAGAAAGATAGAGTGAAAAAACCTCTTGAGGCGGAAGGTTGGACAAGCTCCTTGATGGGGCTTGCCACGCGGTGAACGAAAAAGCCCGAACTCTAAAACCCCAAATCCTCACCAAAATAAGCGAGCTGCAGCAGGATATAGTAATATGTACTCTCTCTCTCTCGCTGTATTATACAACAATACTAGTAGTATAATAGAAAAAAAGTAGTTAAAAAAATAAAAGAGACAATTCTCTATAGATCTGCTATTTTAGAATTTCACTTACTTTACTTTATTACAGTATTTTAAGCCTGTAAAAAGTGGAGGTTTTGGAGTTCGGGCTTTTCAATACACCGCGTGCTTGCTCAACCCTCCCGGTCTGCGCAGGTGGACAGTGTTAAGCGCCGTGGCGATAGGACGCTACACAGCCACCTGCGCCAACATCCATCTTTCATCCCGCGTCCAGTGATAGAGAATCCTCGCAGACCCTTTTCTAAAGCTGAGTATTATGTTTGAAGAAAGGATTGTGCAGGCTTCCTTTGCATTCGTGTGGTGCGTATCTAGACACTACTCGGACGGACGCAAACCCCGCATTTGTCCGTCTCTAGCCGTAATCGGCTAGCGTTGTTAGCATTGACCATTTGTCACCATTGGTCTTACGTGAGATTTCCCCTCGCTCTCGCTCTCGCGCGACAACGAGGCTGCTTACTTGCAGCAGCTGTTATCGCAATCTCCATCTTATCGTCGCTCGGCTTCGGTGCTTGACGCCTTTTCAGTTGACAATCATGGGGATGACCAAGCTCGCCCTGCTCGGTTCTGCCACTCAACGCGAGGCTATGATCCTCCAAACTCTATGCTACGAGGGCGAAAATGCCTGCATGGTAGTGTGCAACTCAGTATATATACGACAGTAGCATCATCATTCTTGCACATTATCATCATCATCACTCACATACAGCAAACACGTTCTGATCATACAGCTCACATATATCTTAATATCTCTCAGTGAGACTTCAACCTATAATTATTATCCTCTACACTATCTCAACTACACATCATTCCTCAAACCTTCCAAATGGCGGCCACAATGCGCGGATGGCAATTCAACTCCGGATCCGGACCAATGGAGAAGAACCTCTCAATCCCATCGTCTGGCATCCCAATTCCATCCATCAAGAAAGACGAAGTTCTCGTGGAGAGCCATGCGACAGCCCTCAACCCAATCGACTACAAGATTCTTGAACTTCCCGTCGTAGCGCGCTTGGTCTTCTCCGGTATCACACCAGGTCTAGACGTCTATGGTCGTGTTGCGAAAGTCGGTAGCAGTGTCACAAGCTTCAAGGAAGGCGATATAGTATACGGAGGCCTTGCTCCTGGAGGCAAACATGGCGCACTGGCAGAGTACCTTCCTGTACCACAGAATCTGTTAGCAAAAGTACCGCAAGGTCTGAAGGGCGACGATATCGTATCCATTGCGAGTGTGGCCATGACAGTATACGCCGCGCTGGAACCCTATGCTAAACCCGGCAATAAAGTCTTTATAAATGGCGGTTCCGGAGGTACTGGTACAAATGCGATACAACTCGCGAAGATACTCGGTTACCACGTCACTGTCTCCTGTTCCACGAAGAATATCGATTTAGTCAAGAGCTTGGGAGCAGATGAGGTGATAGATTATACGACAGGCCCGGTCGTCCAACAACTAAAAGACAACGGCACGATTTTCGACCTCGTTGTTGATAACGTCGGAGCACCAGCAGACTTATATCGGGTGTCGAGCGCGTTCCTACGACCAGAGGGCAAGTTCATCCAAGTAGGTATTGGCATGAACTTCAGCGCCGCGGTGCAATTTATCAGCAACAAATTGTCTAGTCTCCTCAGCTGGGGGAAGAGGGAGTACATTTTCGTCGCCGGTAATGCGAGCACTGCAACGTTTGAGCAGCTTGCGGCATATATGGAGCAAGGCAAGCTCCGTGCGATCATCGACTCGACTTGGGAGTTCTCCGAACTACCGAAAGCTTATGAGAAGCTGAAGACCGGCAGGGCGAAGGGCAAAGTTGTTGTGCATGTCAAAGATTATTGAGACACCTGGGGGCGTACGCACATAGATCTCATTTGAGCGGTTTTGTACTTTCTCGGTTTCAGTAGTTCAGCTGTGTTTTATAGACTTAATGAATAATATCAAGATCTTCTGTTTATCCAATTGGTCATTCCATACAGAGTGACTGCATACCGCATTGATCAGGGGGGACCCATTTCGAGTCTACAAAGCAACACATACTAATTTTGAGTCCATGAATATGTTATAGGTCATTTTCAAAATTGGAAGCACATTGCACAAGCCCTTGGGCGTTGCGCAAGGCCGATGTTCGGCTCCCATCTTGTACGGCTGCCTTACGCTAACCGGCGCTCACGCCTGATTCAAAGATGGGCTCGACATACACTGTTCAATGCAAGCAGAGAGTAATGAGATTGCTGGGTGGAAGCAATAAGGAGATGCTCCAGACCGGCAAGATGCGGCATGACGTTCGGCTTGGCAAAACAAAACGTTCGGAAGCTTTCCGAAATTCACGATCGTCAACTTTTCAACATGCGCGTCTTAACCAGAAGCATACAACCTCTCTCGGCAGCTTTTACTCTTCCAAAACATAGCAATCGCATTCAGATTTCGAGTGCAACTCTAGCGCCGACATGGACGCGGTCATTCCATGCATCGGCGAATCTGAGAGTCGTCGACCTTGCGTACCGGCTTCATGATGACTCTGGCAAGGCCGATGGAGATCCGATTGTAATTGTACACGGGTTGTTCGGAAGCAAGAGGAACAACCAGGGTGTTGGAAAGTAGGACTCTCCCCTGAGACCTTTTTTCTGGATTGTGACTAACACCACGCTTCCAGTGCACTTGCGCGCGTCCTCAAGCGGCCCGTATATGCCATCGATACACGAAACCACGGCGAATCCCCGCACGATAAGGTCCACAACTACACCGCACTCGCCGAAGACGTAGAAGCCTTCCTCGAGAAGCACGAGCTGAAGAATGCGACGCTCATAGGACACTCGATGGGAGCAAAGGCAGTCATGACCATGGCTCTGAGGAACCCAGACTGCTGCGCCAACATCATACCCGTGGACAATGCACCAGTCGATGCGGCCTTGTCGAGCGACTTCCCAAAGTACGCAGAAGGCATGCAGCATGTCGAGAGGTCGCAGCCTAAGAGTCAAAGAGAGGCCGATAAGCTTATGGAGCCTTACGCAAAGGACCTTCCAGTTCGTCAGTTCCTCTTGACTAACCTCATGAGAGGCGAACCGGGCGCACCCCTCAAGTTTCGCATACCTGTGAGCATTCTCACCAAGGCGCTCGACAATATGGCAGACTTCCCCTTCACCAACCCGGACGAGACGTCGTTCAGCAAGAGAGCGCTCTTCATTCGAGGCACCAAGAGCCACTATGTTAGCGACGAGACGCTTCCGATCATCGGTCGTTTCTTCCCAAGGTTTGAGTTGGTCGACATAGATTGCGGACACTGGGTCATTAGTGAGAAGCCTGAGGAGTTCATCAAAGGTATGCAGGCATATACTTTTCCTATCACGAACTCTGCTAACACCTCACAGCGGTTGTGGAGTTCTTGCAGGAGAAGGAATAGATACCCAAGCAGGATACAACAAAGGAAATATCATTTGCCATTGATCAAAAGACTAGCAAGGCGAATCGTGTTCCTCTATGTTGAGCAGTACAACACCCAGTACAAGAGAATAAGGGGGCGTGGTTTCGGAAACAAATTTCAATTATTAATGAGCGACAGGCACACCTACAGCTAACTTATATAGCACCACGCATCCCTCTGCGAACCTCTCTCGCCCTGCATTGCGCACCCTCTCACGATTTCCTCACGATCCACCGCCCGCCTGGTATTGCGTCTATAGAAAGCTATACGAAGTCACCTTGCCAGCAAAGCACTTAGTCTCTCCGGGAAGAACGTCAATGTAATTTCCAGGTCCAAAGCCATTGCAGACTGGGTTAACGAAGAAGCGGGCTGTTCCCCACATTAGCTTGCTGCCTAATCTCCACAAGAACGCTGTTACATACCTGTTCTAGTGAATCCGTTTGATTGTACCCTGAAGCTACCATACGGTGCTGTGTACTCATTGCTGAGACACTTGTCACCTTGGAAGAAGACAGTGTCCTCTAGCCATGGCTCTTCGCAGCCGGAACCCGCGTAGAAACGGATTATGCCGATGCCGGGTGACTGGCGCTCTACAATGGTGGAGGGGTTGGGGAGAGCATTTGCGCTCGTGGCCGCAAGGGCGGCAATAAGACCGAGGATGTTTGTGAGCTGCATCGTGAATGCTGGTCGAGGATGAGATTTTCAAGAGATCGATGCGGGACTGGAGTGGTGAAGAGGGAAGATGAGGAGACATGTGAGGTATTGAGTCTGCTCTTTATACATATTTGGTGCTGGTTTAAAGTCGAACACAGTTTCTGGGCACTACGTTAGTGGTATAGTATCTGGTAAGACCTAGGTCAACTCCAGCTCTCCGTCAGTCGGCCCACTCCGCCACCAACTATCAGCATTGAGGTCATACACTTCCAAGCCGCTTCTTAGAGTCTTGTGAGGTCTATTGACAACCCACGAGCCTCGAGTCTATGCCTCGCTAAGTGAAGGGTGGGTCGGGACATGCAGGTATCCCACGACGTAGAACGAGATGCGATCTAGCATCCACATGCAGTGTCTTGTACGCGACAATGGTATTAGGTGGATCACTCGTATTCCAAGACCAATGCTTTCTACCAACGAAACCTTGGTTCTTGCGCTTATGTTGGTGGATGATGGAAGGAAGGGTCATTCGCACATATGACGGAAGACTGACTCGCGGTTACCTTGGCCTACAGCACTCGCACTTCTACCCCAGTCTCCATATGCTGGTTTTCAATCGCCCGAACTGGTTATGAAAACTTCAGCCTGGAAATGATACCTCCATGCAGCATCCATCTGGCTTCATTTGGTACATGAGTTACATAGACATCATCACCACAACCACTCTTGATTCTACGCAGCACTTGCGTGCATCTGTCATACACCTGGCTATGTATAAGCTGACATGGATAAATCTGAGCTCATTGGTATACAGACCTACCTGTGCACGTGGCTGCTCACCGGAATTACAGCCAGTGAACCAACTCAGTTCCTATCGCCGCATCTACACCAACAATGGTCATCGTCCCAACAAACCCCACGATGGAAGGATTACTGAACCAGTGCCAACAGTAGAAAGACTTTCGCTACCAGAACGTGGCAACGACAATGTGGGTGAACATCGAGCTGAAAACGCGGGCCGCAGTCGCTTAAGCAAGATGCATGCATGTCCACGGCCCATCGCGCTGACACCGCGTGGGATGTATAGTTTCCGCGACCTTCCGCTCCTAGTCTAGATCAAGCTGTGATTTGTCGGAGTCAAGACTGGTGAGCATACAGGTTGCAGGAGGCTTATTGAGCTCGCTTTCTGGACCTTGCGATTGGAAAGCAGCGTCGGCCCGATACTCGATTGAAAGATAACCATCAAAGAATGTCGACACATAGATGCAGAGTATGTGTACAGTGGCACGTATACCCTATGATTGGACTAGTGGGTTCGCATGCGAAGAGGTGTGCGTGGTGAACACGACTATGATACATCCGAGTGGAGATCGAAACTTCTCGTTCTTCATACGATTCCAACACCCTCGACTCTGCCCGCATCACTCGATGACCTTGTATCTTGATAATATCTCGCTCTTTCGTTGCTTCTCCCTTCTCCCGAACCTTCACCTAATGGCCTCATTTCTGTAGGTTCATCTGGACCGGAAACAGCACTGAAGCTTGGTGTTCTAGAGTTTACAGCAGGGCTCCCTTGGAACTTTGGATCATGCATAGCTTGCACGTAATCCTGCACTTTCTTTCCCGGCATGGCACCGTCGCGTACGTATGATGTTAAGCCAAGAATGACGCAGACAAGGGCGAATGCATTAGCGAGAGCATAAGGGACGAATAAGCCATAGGCCTTATAGTTGTAGCGGTTTACGTCGGTGGTAAGCTTAATGGTCGTGTTTGCCATGTCCCTAGACGAATCAGTATCTGCACTGCTTGGAGAATGGCGTTCTACTTACGTTAGTAGGCGGTTGTGCATCATGCTGACTGTCAGATTGGAGCTCAACTCTTCTATCAGGATATCTAGCGTCCGATTTCTCGCCATGGCTTTGTCCTTCAGTCGCTGGTCACTCAAATCGAATGCTGTCGACATGTTTTGATCTTTGTACAATTCTTTCTCTTCGTCAAACTCGAAGTATGCATCAAAGTCCACGGAACCCAGCAAACTGGTGTGCTGAATGGGCGAATCGATGATACCAAACTGAGCTGTTGCTTGTTGCTCATCTTTAATACTCGTATCATCCATCCATGCAAGCTTCCCAACAAGTTGATCGCACACAGTCCACATGAATGCTGTATATGCGTGTTGGGTCATGTTTGATATCTCGTTCGGCTTCTCATTCGGGAAAGGAATCGTTTCGCCGACTTCGTATTCGACTGATACATTCTGGAGGCCATGATATTGCGAGATTTCCAGATTGTAGGATGCGTTGTGCGGGCGACAGATCTGATAATGACGTGTCTTGACTCGCTCGCCCTGGCCGTTGATTTCAGGTCGCAGAAATGTCATCCAGAGTTCGTTCATCGGTGTTGAAGGTATCTGTCGACGAGGATGCGACACTGCTGTAAGACTCCCAGTGCTGTTGTAGGTAGGAACGAAGCTGAAATATGCACTAGCCGTTTCATTTAGTGTACCATGTATGGCATTCATCTCCTCTTTCAAAAGACCGTCTATGGCATATCTTTCCGTATCGTTGGCATCCCCACACTTGATGACAGGAGCGTAGAAGTTGATGGAATAGGCTAAATTGTTGAAAGGCAGATCTAGTGGCAGTATCTCGCCGAGAGACGACGTGGCAGTAGCCAACAGATTCATGACGGTCCTCGGTCCAGTGAAGATTCGATTCACATCGTTTTCGTATTGTTTTGTTCCGCGTATAGAAGGTGGCGAATAGGTAAACAAATGCGCTGCGCTTACATTTGCGATGGAGGGGTGCGGCATAGCTGCATTGATGTGTTCAACTTGGGTGCTTTCGAATATGTACAAAGTCGCAGGCGTAAAGAATGGCGGTATCAATAGACCCCTGGATACATGTTAGAGGAAGCTCAGCAGGTAGAGCGAGCTACTTACCATGCGAGGAAAGCGATTGTTGACCCTACCTTTAGCCTCTTCCACATTTCGAAGTTGAGAAAAGACAATACCGATGTTTCAGCTCCAAAAGCCGAATTTAGGACTTCGAAAGTCATGTCCTTCTTCATGAGGGTCCTCCAAAGCCACTGAGTGTACGCAGTCCACACGCTTGCCCCCAGGCATATCTGAGCGAGGAAGGCAAAGCCAGTGCCAAATCTGATGCCATCAGCTAACTGCAGGACATTTGTGATAACACTATACTACCTTGTTTTCTCCTCTTGCTGGTCGGCTTTGCCAACTACCTGGTCTTTGAGTCTCGGGTAAAAGATGCAATGCGCCATGCTCATTGCTAAGCCAACAAGGAAAAACAGAACCATGAGAAGTGGAGTTTTCCATGTATGAATGCGACGCGCTTCCCAATTAGAAAATCTCCGTGGACCATGATGTTCTGCTACTGATCTGGTTGCTGGCGATGACAGCGGGTTTGGGATTAGACGCGCATTGGATCGCGTGGAAAGATTATCATCGTGGACCTCTGGCCTCTCCATTAAACTGGCTTCAACTTGTCTAGGGCTCTCCATGATAATGTTGTATCAAACTGTTCCTCCGACCCAGGCAGACACACTGAACTGATCGTTGTCAAGAATCACGTAAAATCTCGATCTTAGCCTGCTACCTCCAGTCACAGGGAGAGTGTCGCATGGAATCAAAATAAAGCAAAAGCAGAGTGTATGATATGGTCGAGTGGCGGCTGTCCCTCTGCCAAATATTAAACATTGTTGGGGAGTCTCCCCACCATGGGAACACCGGTGAGGGCTGCCGTGTGCAAACAAAGTAGGAGCGAGGCTGAGTCGAAAGAGTAAGACGATGACACCCTTGTGAGTAGATGCCTGCTTGCATGTGCCTAGCCTCAGGACATAGCAATAGAGTTAGCTGCAGGAACACTGACCTGGCGTTCGTGAAAGTTCGGAAGTCATATCGAGATACGATCATTGTAACGGTGCTAAGAGGCTGTGGTTCTAGTGACGATGCTTATCTGGGTCGGCTTCCACGGTAAGGTGCAGTAAATGTGAGAACCTCATGCCGACTTTATCTAGCAGGTAAACATAGGATCGAATTCCATCGGCACAGTCTTGAGCAGTATCGTGCCATATTCGTGGGGAGTTCGTGCCTGTCAACCATCGAGGCCTAACGGCGAGGGGTACCTGCAGCAAGGGTTAGCGATGACGCTCAGCCACCCTCAGGTGAGGGAAGAGAGCAGCTCCTACATCAATTTGGGGCACAAAATATATTGCGACGGGGCGAAGTACCGAAGACCACTAGGATGGTCTCGTGTCACAGTGAGCGTCCAATTATCAAGCTTCCCGATGCAACGTGAGACTTCTTAGTGATGTTGATTGGACGAAGAGAATATGAGACATGAGATGACCCGTCTTCAATGCGATAGATGGTTGTTGTTGGTAAGTAATGTTCATACGCCCGGCTCTACTGTGTAGTGTTTTCTGGCGCGACGAAGGGCCGAAGTGGTTCCTTTGGGGGCCGGTAGAGGCACGGTTCGTGTTCTACAGTCCGTGCGTATGTAGCCCCCTACAGTTCGCTCATCCGCTCACCTTCAAAACACAGTGTTCACGTATGTCAAACGTTTTTCCTGAGACAGATGTTGAATTGTCTATTCTAGAGCTCTCTACTGTTTAAAAGAGTGTCTTAGCTTCTCATAGCCCTTGCCACGACAGTGAGAATACCAACGTGTATTCTATAGTTCTGACCTCAACACGACCGCTGGAATTGAACCGAGCGCTCAAGAGGCTTTCAAATCAGCCTTCATTCAGGCTTAGGAGCCTTTCCGATGTCAGGGTAAGTGGCAGCTTGACCGTCAACAAGCTCTAAATACCACCATGCTCCAGTTGCCGCGTTCCCGCCATTCCATATTTCACACTTGGTGTTATCCGCAGTCTGGTAAGAGCTTGTGAGAAGTTTCATGTCTTTGTTACCCTAGAGAGAGATTAGAAATACATGTCATGCATTACTTTTAGTAGTAGCATATTCGAGCTTACCGCTGACAGAATCCTAAAATGCTTGTTAA